CGCGGCGCTGGGACGGGGGGAGTGGGGGGTGCCTTGGAGAGCTCTGGCCCCTTCCAGGCCCCTGTGCTGCCACACAGTCTGCCACAGCTCTGCCTGCCCGCAGCGTGGGCCCACGCTGGGAAGGGGCTCATGTTCCCCCACACTATGACAGGGGCTGCTGCCCCCATCAAGGACCTTGCCCCATTGCCCATGCATTGGCTGGGTGGACATGTGGCTAGGAATGGGGGTTATTCCCCCTGCCTCCAGCATCTGGCAGAGGGGACACCAGGGGGCTTATTCCACCACCTGCCCCAAGCAGGGAGCGAGCATGGCGGTGGTGGCGGGCAGAACCGGCTGCAGTCCTGCAGGGGCAGTGGGGGTAGAGGGGAGAATAATCCTCCTCCCTGCCCCCCTCTGCCTCAGGGGCCATGCCGGCCTGCCACTGCAGCAGCGAGGGGAGTGCCTGGCAGACCCAGCTTAGGTCCCTGCTGGTGGGACAGGGAGGAGGGAATAAACCCCTCTCTGGCCAGTTTAGCCCAGGCTGGCCATGGCCCCCCCACAGCACCGCTCCCCAGATGGATGCTCTGGCACCCCCCGGCTCCTGGCATGAGCAGCTGCAGGCATATGCATTTGCCTTAGTCCAGAGGGAATGTCTGTGCTGTTACAAACTGGTTCAACCTAGGCAGGTTAGACTGACCTGCAAAGGTTGAATAACTCAGGCTCCAGCTTTTTGAATGTCTGTCCCTAGCCCTAGAAATCTTTTCCAATGGCACCCAGGAAAAATATGGAATGAAAATTAAAATGATCTAATCATAGAAAAGCAAGTATATATCAGAGCATCCTCATGCCTCCAAATATGCTTAGCTTCAAGAAGCCAAGGCAGTAAATTCCATGTTCTTAGGCCAAAAATATTTTAGAACTAAAATCACTGTTGCAATTTAATCTCTAACTATTTACAGGAAATGAATAATGTGGCCGTATGTAGGTGTTAGCTGATGATACCATTAACATTGGTTCTCTCATCAGAGGGGCAAAGTCAAGCTATTCTACCTACCTCTCCAGGCCTAGTGAACACTTTATGTACACACCAAACCCAGTTCTTCAGTGCACTGTTCCTCTAACTACCCCTGTGGATTTGAAAAGTCCTAGCACCCTTATTTTCAGGATGAGGTTGTACAGGGAATAGAAACCCAATTCATAAATCCCAGATTAGCCGTCTTGCCACTGAGGCATTTTTCTTCTTTACTTTGGGTAGATCATAAGAACTGAGCTAATTCCACATCTGTCACAGCAGATAGGAGAGAACTATACTCGTGTGGTGATGGGGAAGTTTGATCTGTTGCTCTCATTGATGCCGTTCTACCTACATAGCTTCAGAGAGGATGTCAGTCTTCAGGACTGTCAGTCAGCTCTAGGAACTAAATTATCTTATCTTGGAACTCTTAATAATACACAATTTGTTTAGCCACAGCGAGGCTTTGAAGCAGCAGCCTTGTGCAATAGAAATGAGGAAGTATACCAAGCAGTCTCAATATGGTGTGTCACAAGATTGTGTAACCTATATTCCCCACCCTCAGTACATTATTACCAGTAAAGTAGGCTGCTTTTAAAAACAATGATTTCATTCATTTCTCTTTGCTGATTGGCTGGCTAAATTAAGAAACACAAGCATATTCCTTTAAATGCAGTACCGATAATGACTGTCTCTAAAGAGTGGTGGAAAACTGTCTCCCAAAGAACCTCTGGGAGATAATGAGATTTGAGAAATTAATATAGCCTTGGTCTACAAGGAAGGAAAGAAGAGCAAACCTGAAATCACTAACTGGTAAGTCTCACTACTCTTTTCTCTAGTAACATAATGACATGTGGTTGAAGAGGGGAGAATCACTTAAGTTTGCAGTGGTAACAGACTCCTAAGGAACACAGATTTGTAAAGGGTAGATATGGTCAGTGATAATAAAATGTCACTGTTCATAGATGCAGGGGGAAATAGGAGATGTAATCTAGCTACAATACTTCAAGCTCCATCACACTTTCAAATGAAATCATCCTATTTAGAAAATGAACACTGTCATGGAGTAAGAACTGTCCAAATGATTGCAAATAGGGGAAGAGGAAAACAGCAATATATTGAGTTAGGGGCAATATCCTAATTTAGAAATGGAGTTCTGTATTGGGGCCATGCAGGGATCTGGGTTAGGTCCACATCTTTATTCTTTGGTCTAAAAGACAGAATAAATAATGTCAATGAAAATTACAGGTGATGCTACACATGGAGGAACTGTGAGGGCAAATGATACAAAAGGACTTCAAAAATTAGCAATGGAATAGAACAATCCAGCGGGAAAGATGCTAAATGTATGCAATTTTCCCCTCTCAAAAGGTATTTGCTAAACATTGGAAGCTTGAAGCTGAAGGAATTCATTTGCACCCGTTCTATCTTCCAGAAGATGATTACGCTTAGGAAAAAGCTAACGGTTGTGGGTGATGTTGCCTGTGGCAAGACATGCCTCTTGCTCGCTTTCTGCCAGGAGCAGTTTCCCAAATATTATGAGCCAACAGTGTTTGAAAACTATGTCACTGACATTGAAGTTGAGGGAAAGCCGGTGAAGCTGATGCTCTTTGATGTGGCAGGGCAGCGACAAATCAATGTCCAGCACATCCGCTCCTTGTTCTATCAAGACACTGATGTCATCTTAATGTGCTTCTCAGTGGACAATCCAAATTCACTGCAGAATATCCTTGATATTTGGGTTCCAGAAGTCAGACATTTCTGCCCCACAACACCCACTGTCTTGGTGGCTACTAAGAAAGAACTAAGAAATGATGAGAGTGTCCAGAAAAGACTTGCCACGATGAGACAAGAGCCGATTAGGTCTGCAGAAGGAAAGGCCTTGGCTGCTAGCATTGGGGCATATGCCTACTTGGAGTGCTCTGCAAAGACAAAAGAAGGAGTTGAGAGACTCTTGGAAGTAATTGGCCAAGCTGCAATACAGGATGGAGCAAAGACAACAAGAACACAGTGTACATCCTGTGAAGTGCTATGAGAAAAGCAAAAGTTATTTTGCTCTTTAACCTTTTGAAGTGAAAAGGTATGTGAGAGTTTCCATGAATTTTGCACAAATGTTCTTATAGGACCAAATGGTTGTCCTCTATGGAAGCACACGTATAGCCAAGAAAAATCTAGTATTCCTCTAATAGAAACTCCACAAAGCTATTCTGGTGGGAAGTAAGTAGGATTTGCTTCCTCCTGTCCCCTCAGGAACCAGCTGGGGATAAAAATGCCAGAACTGCATGGGTCTCAGAGCAGGCCAAAGCCAAAATTCACCACTAAGGCTATGTGATTTATATTATTCTATATTGGGCATATCTACACACGCGCTTTAAATGCACAGTAGCCTATTTTACTGGACATTAAAGCATTGTGTAAAAAACACATGCTATTGCACTAATGCACAGTAAATAAGCTACTGCACATTAAGTGTTATTAAAAAAGCATGTGCTTGCATTACTGCACATTAGGACAGCCTAATGTGCATTTAGTATCCCACATCGAATGTACTAAATTTAATGTACATTAGGAAAAGCGCATTAATGCATGTGTAGACGCACCCATTACTTCTTATCCTGTGGCCGTTGTTCAACCCTGTCAGCATGGATTTGGTGTTAAGGAAACATGGTGGCAAAGCTTCACTTGTTTGAAGCTCCCCTCTACGTGCTTCCACAGAAGGGATGGTATCTATGGGATCAGGGGCCCACATGCAAAATACAAGCGCGAGTTGCATTATCTTTGCCAGGTGTCCAGTGGGATCAATGCCTGTAGCACAAGGTCAAACCTTCTCCCTCTTCGTATCCCCAACATTACAAACCTACTATGCTAGCTGCTATGAAGGCAACAGTGTCTATCCCTTCCACAAACCACAAGTCTGCCAAATAATTCTTTACTTAATTTGTATGTTGATTTGGCTCTGATAAATGGAGGAAGAGATTTGAGGGCTCTTCTGAGACTGTGCCTTGATGTCATCTAAACCTCCTTACATTTCTGCACTTATATCTTTTTCTCCTTCTCTAGTATTTGTGGACAAAACAATGAAGTAAAGAAAAAGCCAGAGACCATGACATCAATTAGGCAGAGCAAGATGGAGACATCGCAGCAGGAACGACTGTCAAGAAGCCAGTGCAGATGAACTGTAGTGGCAGGATGCAGCTGGTGTTGGATGTCTTCATGCATGCCTCCTCACTATCAAGGATGCATGAAGACCTTTGCTGTCAGTCCTGGAAATAGAGACTTGGGTTCTGGCTACAGAGGTAAAGGCTCTATACAGGATGAGTTGAATGGAAAACGGTACTTCAATAAATACCTTAAAATCCTGATATAAAGAAGCACAGAGTAATTTATTGAGCATATTATGGCCTGTTGTGCAGGACAACATGAAGTGAGTAGGTCTCTTTGTTGTCTCAGTGTTGGCTCAGTCATTGAGCAATCTTGGTTTCTACTCCTCAGAAAAAAAATCAAGCAGAGTACAGAAAATCTTTGTCAGGAATTCTTGATTTAACAGACTAGCTCTTCCATTAAATTGCATTGGATTTTTTCTCACCCATTCTTTCTGGCTGATAATGTTGCCTAGGGAGCAGTACTGGTGTAATTCAGACACTGGATAGTGTAATACCATGGCCCTGTGCAGGGCTGTTTTTGTAGGTAGTAGTAGCAGAAATTAGTGATCTGCCTTCAACTCTGTTCCTTAAACATATGCACTAGCTGATCTTCAGTAGAAGCCAACTATTTGTGTCTCAACTGTCTCCTCTTCTCTCTCTCTGTTTAATCTGCACTCACTTCCTGTTTTTCATTTTAATTAGTGTTGAGAAGTGCTTGGGTTCCTTGTTCCATTCCTTTTCCTGTTATGGGTCCTCCCTCTTTCTCCTTCGCTCTTATTGCTGTTTCTCATGCTGAGGGTTAAACTTAGCACAACACATGATGCCAGTACCAACCATTTGCACCCATATACAAAAGTACTCAAATAGCATGTGAAATGATTTATTTGAAAGAGACAAATCAGAAAGGTGCTTGTAAAAGAAGAGGTTTTGTTGGTGGTGTAAAGACAGAAGGCATGTCTATTATATAGCGATGACGGCTGTTCCTGAATACATGAAATATGCTACTTTCATTCAATGTCACTTTCTAATCATGGCTGTGAAAACCCACCTACGCCAACAGGAAATTACATCCAAATGCTCTAGGACTGATGCTTTGCACCTTTGAATAACTTTCCTACCAAGGGCCCCTCTGTGATTGTCATGTATCGTTCCCTTGGTCAAAACTAGAGAAGCTGTGCCACACAGAGGAAGTGAGATGCCTAGGGTAACAGCAAGTCATCTACATTGCACAGCCTTCCTCTGTTCACTCTTCTTTCTCCTCCTTTCTGCCCCTTTTCTTATTCCTCTTTGACTATTTAGGCTCTTTTTCTCCTAACTTCCCCATCTTTTTAAAATAGCAGGAAGGCTTCCCTAATTGGGGAGGACATTTCAGCTTGTTTTAAGTCAAGTTCATGGTTAGATGTTTTCCTGAATCATGGCCAACATGCCTTTACATTGGACATGCCAAAGAGCTTTACTCATGAAGCTAGGTAAATCCCCTTTCTGCAGTGGGCAGAAGGGAAAATGGGTGCAGAAATGTTAAGATATCCATTTTCTGATAGAAGGCAGGGTGGGCAGCCCTTACAGACTAACTGGTTCAGAAAGAAATGAGTGTCTGTAGTCAACACCCATTACTTCTGTCTACTCATTTTCTGATACGGCCTGTATTTTGAGCGGCTCAATTTTGGGCTGTCTACTATGAAACATGCAGTTTATTTTTCAAAAAATGCTGAGGTTCTTTTGCTCCCATTACGTTAAAAATAGAAGCACTCAGATTTGAAGGCTGCTTCTAAAAAATTGGGCCTCAGTGATCCAAGGTTACCCATGATACATCAGTTGGTTTCTCAATTAAATCTATTTAACAAGATGTAAATTGGCATTGGTTTTCAGTGCAAAACTACAAGTACGTGGCTGCAGGGTATGAGTAGCTTCATCTTTGTTTCTCTGTCTGTATTTACCTTTGAATTAATCAACACTTGCATTGACCTCAGGGTTTTCTTCCTTCTGGCTAGTTACCACCTAACATTAGCTTTTAAATAGCTAGTATTTTATATATACAATCTGTTCCTACTGTGCTCACTCACGTAAGTGAAAAAGAGAACACTTTATCAGTCTTTTTAGTAACTCCTCAGGCTATTGTCACGTTTCACATCAACTAGAAATCTAACCCTCCAATTTTCAGCTACGTGTGCCCTAGAAATGACATCACCAAAGCTTCACTTGAAGGGGTTTTGTCAAAACACAATATATTTCTCTATTTATCTGGCTCATTGCACTGTTTCATAGGAGGGCTTCCTTTTGGAAATGTGTGGGGTCCGTCTTCTAGATCCCAGAAAAATCCTCAGACCGGAGCAAAATGAGCTCATTTTGCGTTTAAGAATTGGTTTCAGAAAAGAAAAGGAAGTAGTGACGACTGGTTCGAGTGCTTGCTTGAAACCTGGGAACTTGCTCCACCACAGACTTCCTATGTGACCAGGGCAAGTTGCTTTGTTTTTCTCTGGCTATGTCAACATGGCAGATTGCAACATAATATAGAAATTACACAAAAATAAAAATACCTAAACTCACTTCACATGAGCTATCTCAGGTACCAGAAACAGTATAGCTGCTGCAACACAAAGCTATTGGGAGGGGTAACTGTTTCCCATCTAAGGCTAGATTGAATAGCTCTGTAGTATGCTGCAGGCTGCAGCGTAGACATACCCAGCGTATGTGGTCAATAGTACTTTCCTACCTCATGATGTGTATTGTGAGGGTAAATAAAGGCTAGTGAAGTGTTCAGATTCTAGGGTAATGGGCAGGGGGCATATAAGACTGTATAAGATAGGTGGACAGCGCTGAAACCTAAAGCAAAAAATCAATAGTTACTATAGGCAGACTAAGACAATGGTTACTATAGGCTTGTCTGCCTGTCCTTAGACCAACACGGCTACAGCCTACATCCCTGTAATAGTTACTATACAACTTTAAACTGTTGAAGTTCAAAGTCTGTGGAGTGCCCAGTCCATGGATCCTTTTGAACAACCATTTCTTCTAGAGCTGCTGGCAATAAAATCCTCTCTATGTTTGTTTTCGGCATATGGTTTGTTCCTGAAGCACTCAAACTCTGTGCATTTACATAAATGTACAGCCTTTGTCACTCAAAAAGCACTAGCTTCCAGTGAGGGAGTAGACGAGAGCTACCACTAAAATAATGCAACTTCTGGAGTGAAATAATGCTCTTGTTTTCCTGTCAGCTCTAACAATAGCTGATTAGGCAATCCTGTAAATAAATGTAGCTCATGCCTTTTAATATGCAAGAGACAAACAACGGGGAGAAATAATAAAATACTACATAGCATTAATAGGCTGCTGCGTAGGAGAAATTTCAGTCTGATATCTGTCTACATATTTTCTGAGGAACCAGGAGATGACAACAAACAGTCAAACTTTCTTTAGAGATTCAGGAGAACTTGGCAACTTTAACATCATCTACAAAAAAGGCATTTTAACTGGTGTTTTACAGATGTTGAACATGCTGGTAAATTATTCAATGTAGAAATGACTTTGAAGAGAAAGAGGGGGTTATTTATTTTAATATAAACAATAAAAAAATACAGAAACTATTTCACTTTTGTAGGCTATCTGGAATGTGTATCGACTCTGATGTGAACAAGGAGGTGGGAAGTGCTTTATTTCTTCTTTGCATCACAGACTTAAGCTTCATATGCTTTTCACAGTTCAGATTTCCATTACTTTCCTGGAACAATGCTGGCTCCCTCTAGTGACCAGTATATCTGCTACATAATTGTCACAGTCCATGATATACCTAATGTTTGATTAAAACACTTTTATGTGTTTTAAATCCCATTTTTTCCAGATAACTTGACACTTAATTAACTTCATTTTTCCGTTAAGATGTATTACATCTTCTTAAGCCAATAAATAGCTTTTGCTGCATGGCTGTGATTTTGAACAAAGGTGTCATTGCATCCCAGGGTGCTGCAAAATCCTTTTTAAGGGTGTCACACAACATTGGCACCATTAATTGTACAAAGACATGATTTACAAAACAAATCCAAAGATTTCAAATAGGAATCTCTATTGTAAAAAAAATATGGCCTATTTTGATCTTTCTGAATTTTTGTAGCTTCTAGACGAATTGCTGTTATTTGTCTGCAGGCAAAAAAACAAGTGAAAACTAAGCTGTCATTTTCCAAGGGGTGAGACCCACTGCTGTATAACATCAAACACTGATGCAATGTAAGATTTTCCTTTTGTTTTTCTTATCCTTGTTACAAGGCTTTAACAGAATTTGCAGAATTCAGCACAAGTGCTTCCACTCTGGCCTTAAACTTGCAACCGCTGGGCTATCAACCATGCACCTTAACACCCACACCACTCCAGCCTCAAATAATTAATATCACTGTAGTTAAATGGAAATAAAAGGCCAAGTCATATGTGGAATAACCATGATCATCATCTGTGCACAAAGGATCAGTTGCCGTTTCCTATGAAAAAGCCTAGGCAAACCAGTAGACGTTTCTTGAAACATGTAGCAAATACCTTTATGGCCCACTCAGATGGCTTTTACATACAGGAAAACTAATTGCCATCTTTTAAGTTGTGGAAACTTATTCTAAAGAGGTAAAGAGATTGGAGATTCAATTCACAAAAGTGTATTTATATGCCTAGTCATATTTTAGGTACCTATGAAATCCTTGGGACTGCCACTCAGCTACACCTGACTCTCTGGTCCCTATGTTTCCCCGGTGGGCATTGGCATCGGCATCGGCATCACCCAAGTCCTGCCACTGCAGAATAGCTCCTAGTCCTTGTTCATGGCTAAGTCCTGGCAGGATTCTCAACCCATTTACCCCACCTGTG